CATCAGAGGGATTCACCGCTATTTTTGTAGTAATTGATCGCCTGTCCAAGATTTCTCACTTCATTCCCTTGAAAGGGACTCCTTCTGCCACGGAAACTGCCTCCGCTTTCATCAAGGAGATCGTAAGACTACATGGCGTTCCCCTAAATATTGTGTCTGATCGAGGAGTGCAATTTACATCCAAATTTTGAAAAGCTCTGTGTGAGGCATTAGAGATCGAGCTACGCTTTTCCTCTGCTTATCACCCACAAACGAATGGACAAACGGAAAGGACAAACCAAACTCTGGAGCAATACCTCCGATGCTTCTCCTCATATTCACAGGGTGACTGGGCATCGCTCCTTCCATTAGCGGAATTTGCATACAATAATTCAATTCATTCCGCCACCAAGCAGTCTCCCTTTTACTCTAACTACGGATACCATCCCTCCTTTCTTCCGGAAATACCAGTGGAGGCCGCTGTTCCGGCAGTACAAGAAAGGATGGAGTTCCTCAGGAGGAATGGCAAAGTATTACAGAAGACGATTTCTGAAGCTCAGGCGAGTAACAAAAAATATTTTGACAGAAAGAGAAGGGGCAACTTGAAACTGAAACAAGGGGATAAAGTCTGGTTATCCACGGCTAATCTAAAATTAAGTTGTCCGTCAAGAAAGCTTGGTCCAAGATACCTGGGACCATTCACTATCAAGAGAAAGGTGAACCCTGTGGCCTTTGAATTGGAACTACCTGCTAACATGAAGATTCACCCAGTATTCCATTGCTCCCTGTTAAAACGACATATCCCAAGTGGGTTTTCCAGCCGGAATTCGGAGGCGCCTGCTCCACTGCTGGTTGAGGGAAATGAAGAGTACGAGGTTGAGGCTATCTTGAATTGTAGGAAGAGGGGTGGACAGACCCAGTTCCTCATCAAATGGAAAGGTTTAGGACCAGAGGATAACTCCTGGGAACCATCCAATAATGTCCATGCCCCATGGATAGTTCAAGCCTATCTCCATCGTCACCCTGAAAAACGAGCCCTAGTGGGCATCCGGAGGTTGCTCCTAAGGGGGGGGCAATGTAAGGGATTTCCTGCAAGATGAATCATGACCGGAACTGCGCAATCACGCACGTGTACGCGCATGGCGAAGATTGGCACCAGACGGACTATTTAAGGAGTGTCTCTGCTCATGTTCAGTGCTGACTGGTCTTCAGCTCCCCCATGTCCTGCTTGTTCCTGTATGATTCCTTTGTTGCTGACATTGGCTTTTTTCTCACCTGACTCTGATTGCTCTCCTGATACTGGTTCCTGACTTCGGCTCTGCTCCTGACCTTGGCTTTTCCTTCTGATTCTGTACCGTGCTGCTCGACTGTTGATGACCCTGGCTATTCCATGACATCGCTCCTGTCTCTTGTCCTCACTACCTGCCTTGCTCTGGTGCATGCCTGGCAACCTGCAAAACCTGCTCTGCCTACTACTACTGTGCCAAAATCAGAGGATCATCAGCCTTCCGAGGTCTTTCATCAGCAAGAGCTGCAAACAACTACTGGCACTCTTGTTCCCCTGGGTCCTAGACTCCCTCTGTTCCTACTCCAGCGGGTGCAGTACAAGTGACACAAGTGAGACCAACCTCATCATTTCAGTCTCCCATCAGGTACGTGACACTTCCAGTTGGAACACGTACTAAAGAAATATAAAGGTTGCCTTTACTCATCACACCTTTACTAAAACACTTCTGAGATTTAGAGTTGCCCAACTGTAATGCTAGTCCAATGTATTTGGGGCTTTCTAAGTCAGTGATTTGTAACAAATAAGCATATCTGGAGTCTTGACCAGGGGCGAACTGACCATTTGGAAACTCGGGCACTGGCCGAGGGCTCAGTGTCAGTACGGGGCCCCATGAGATGCTCCTGGTACCTTTTTCATAGGCTTTTTTGAGTTTGGGCAAGGACACAGGGGCCCCATGAATCCCTATTGCCCGGGGGCACCATGAGTTGTCAGTCCGCCCCTGGTCTTGACCTAATCCCAAGTTTGCTTGTGTGTGTTGTCCTGATACCCCACCCCAAACCCCATACCAAGCCCTTATCTGAGCATGCTGCCTTCCTGGCCATCAAACTAGGCTGGACCATATCAGGTCACATGCCCTCAACATTCCTGTCAAAGCACCTTGTCTGTAAGTTAATGAAGACAAGGGCCTCTTCCCCACAGCCCTGATCAAGCAGAGGACTTGTTAGAATCTGGAACCACCCCTCAAAAATAAGGGGGTCCCCAGATACCAGCCCCTCTGATGTGTATGGGATATGTAATACCCCTACTCATTCACACAAAAAATAGTAAATAAACACATCACACTTTGACAAGTCCTTTATTAGAAAGAAAATATCCTATGACGTACATCTGTTGTCAATCACATCATCCAGCAATGTAGATCCTTGTTAGTCATGATGAATGACACCCACCTGAAAGAAAAACACACTGACCACCGATATGATCATCTCCCATCTCTACTCCTCACCAAATGACATCCAGATCCCTGTCTGACAGCTGAATGGCCAGGGGATATGTCACTTCCAGCTGCAGCAGGAGGTATGGCTTAGCGGGCCAGCACCTCATTTAGTTCACTCTGAACAGGCATAATTCTAAATGAATTCTACTTTGGTCTTTATCTGAAGCTCACAAGGAAGCTGTATAATCATATCTCCACCCATAAGAGAACTTTCTAATAATTTCACCACTCAAAATAGACCTTTATAATTATATCAGCAAAAATATGGAAGAATCTATATCATATCACCTCCTACAGCTCTGCTTTCTACACAGGATTTGTACAGCACAGTATCTGTGGTATTTGATGCACACAATGAGGATGTATGGTTATTGAGGAACACAACAATCAGCCTTAACTTTATGATCAGGTCCCCCTTTTGCCTCCAAAAGTCCTGACCTATTGAGGCATGGACTCCATTAGACCTCTGAAGGTATACTGTGATATCTGGCACCATGCTGTCAGTAGCACATTCCTCAGATGCTCAGTTGGATTGGGATCTGGACAATTTGGATGCCAAATCAAAACCTCAAACTCGTTGTGTTCCTTGAACCTTTTTTGAACCATTCTTGCAATGTGCATTATCCTGCAGAAAACAGGTTACTGCCATCAAGGAATACTGTTTATATGAAGGGGTGTACTTGGTCAGTGCCAATGTTTAGGTAGGTGGTATGTGTCAAAATATCATCCACATGAATGGTAGGACTCAAGGATTCCCAGCAGAACATTGCCAAAAAATTCTCACTGCCTCCACCGGCTTGCCTTCTTCCCATACTGCATCTTGGTGCCATCTCTTCTCTAGGTAAGTGACAAACGTGTACGCAGTTAGCCTTCTGTGTATTTAGTTTGACCCAGCTGCCCAGATCAAGTGGAAAGGGTTAATATTTTGCTGCCTTTCCCAGGTGTGTTTGCAGGCTTTCACTGTGGTCCAGCCTCCATGTGACATAAAAGAGAAGAGGTCAGGGCTCTGGGGTGGAAAGGAGAAGCGAGAAATAGAAAAGGAGAAGCCAGAAATAGAAAAGGAGAAGCCCAGAGAGGTGCTTTAGGGAACACCTGGAGAAATGCATGGGAGACATGCAACTAAGGACTTGCTGGGACCTCTGGTCCGCTCTGGAATGTAGACTTGCTGGAAGAACCCTGGAACATGGTCTTCTCTAACAAAGCATTGCCAAACATGGACTTTTCTCAAAGAGACTCCACCTGTGCAGGTAACATGGGGCAGCCACAGTTAGGGAAGGACGCTGTCATGTTATACATGTTTTGCCTAGTTTACAGTAAAAGTTGATTCTACCGCTTAAAGCCTGGTCTGAAGTTATTCAAGGGGTGCATGTGAGGTCCTGGTATATTGCTAAAGAACTTGGATTCATGACCACATTATGGGGTATGTGTAACATCACTACGACAGAGATTCATGAGTAACTGCAAGAAAGACATAGAAACCAGTCATTGGTGTGGTACCTGTTAGGTGACAGGCTCTCCAGTAGCGAAGGGGTCGGTGCTTGACTCTGCCCCTAGCTGTCTGTCTCTGCTGGTCACTGGGAGTGGATTAGGGTTATGGAGTTATAAGGCCTGGTCAGTAGGTATGAGAAGGTAGGGAAGAGAAGAGTTGAATGAGAATATGTATGAGGTCTGCTCTGTGCTTAGTGGGACCCCATTCTGTTACTAGGAGTGAGATAGAGGAATGCTGACTGGTGGAGTGGGCAGAGGCTCAGCCTGTCCCTCTGAATGCATACATCAATGTGTAAGATATGGGACAAAGCAGCTTAAAGAGGAACTCCGTACTCTGGGTACTGCACACATATGGCTCATCTTTGAATTCGGAAGTTGCCTTAATGTTTGGTATTTCAAATGACCGTGGCTCCTGCCTGATCCCGGACATTGGTGAGCATGCCTTTGGGTGAAATGTTACTGGACATGCAAAGATCAGTTACCTCATTCAATGCCTGGTGTAGCCCAAAGAACCCACCCCAAGGTAGGCCTCTGATGTGACCCATACGTGGCATCCAACAAGTTCATGGGTAGCATGGGGGAGGTATCAACTGCCTTCACTACAAACATGAACCCAGCCATCCACATTATGTAAAAGAAACTGTAATTCATCAGACCATGTCACCTTCCCATTGTTCTGGGGTCCATTCTGATGCTCAAGTGCCCATTGCAGGCGGTTGTGGACATGGGGCAGCATGGGCACCTTGACTGGCCTCTGGTAATAACGTTCAGACTGATCGCTGGATATTGAAATGAATTTTCCTGGAGTTCAGTTATATAAACTGTTGATAATCAGTATCACATTACCAGTCATAGGTTGGCAAGCCAGCCCTCCGCACAGATCACACATTGTAGTGTCAGTGTATATGGAGGAGGAGGAGAAGGGGGCGTCCCCGGGGCTGCACGTGTTGTCAGGCCCCGCCCACCTAGTGGTTCTCACGCCTTGCAGGCGGAGAATTCCTTCATTGGAGTTGTCACCCTTCTGCTGGAATGTCGGAGGATCGGGAGGACTTTGTGAAGGGAAACCCGGAGCTGAACAAGTTCCCGGAGGACAGTGCGGTGGTAGTGGAAGCCATCGGGCTGCTCAGACACAGGGCGGAGGAGGACAGCAATCACTGGCCACAGGGACTGTCCGATCAATTCCTCCTGAGGTTCCTCCGAGCCCGGGACTTCTGTATAGAGTTGGCGCTCAAGGTATGGAGACCGATAGATGTCCAAATGTACTGTGTACTCAGGGCGGGTACTACTGTGTACATCTGATCCCTGCCACACCGTGTGTCTACATGTATGTCTACATGTATGTCAGTGCTGCCGAACCCATATATCAGACTATACTGTATGTATGTGTGTGTGTCTACATGTATGTCAGTCTTGCCGAACCCATATATCAGGATATAGTGTATGTATGTATATGTGTGCATATATATATGTATGTGTGTGTCTACATGTATGTCAGTGCTGCTGAACCCATATATCAGGATATACTGTATGTATATGTGTGTGCATATATATGTGTGTCTACATGTATGTCAGTGCTGCTATATATCAGGATATACTAGATGTGTGTGTGTGTGTGTGTGTATGTATATATATATATATATATATATATATATATATATACATACACACACAGTATCTCACAGAAGTGAATACATCCCTCACATTTTTGTAAATATTTTATTATATCTTTTCATGTGACAACACTGAAGAAATGACACTTTGCTACAATGTAAAGTAGTGAGTGTACAGCTTGTATAACAGTGTAAATTTGCCGTCCCCTCAACACACAGCCATTAATGTCTAAACCGCTGGCAACAAAAGTGAGTACACCCCTAAGTGAAAATGTCCAAATTGGGCCCAAAGTGTCGATATTTTGTGTGGCCACCATCGGGGCGGACTGACAACTCATAGGGCCGCCGGGCAATAGGGGATCATGGGGCCCCTGTGTCCTTGCCCAAACTCCAAAAAGTGTATGAAAAAGGTACCAGGGGCATCTCATGGGGCCCCCTACTGACCTTGGGCAGTGCCCGAGTTTTCAATGGTCAGTCCGCCCCTGGCCACCATTATTTTCCAGCACTGCCTTAACCCTTTTAGGCATGGAGTTCACCAGAACTGCACAGGTTGCCACTACAGGGATGTCCAATTCATATCGCCCTACGCCCGGGACATGCAGTTCCAAATGTCGGCAGGTGGTTTTTATTTTTTACATTTAGCCCTGCTGCGGGCAAGCAGCAGGGTTTACTTTTTTTTTGTAGAGCAGACACCAGTGAAGGGCTCGTTCACACTTGACTCATTTCTAACTCTTGCCAAACGCCCCTATAGTGTTTTGACAGGCGTTTGGGAAGCGGTTTTAACGCTCCCCAAATGCCCTATGCGCGTTTTTGAGGCATCTGATAAAACCGCTCCACAAATTCCTCGCAACAGCCCCGCAAATGCCTGCCAGGCGTTTGAGTAGCGTCACCATAGACTTGAATGGGAGGCTACATCTCCTCCTGACTCTACATGAGGCTTCAATTTTGCCGCAACTGTAACGCTTCAGTGTGAACAGCACTGTGTGCTGCCATGTGTAGAATTTTGAGGAGGGTTTAAAAAGGCTTCCCAAATGTCTGTCTAACACCTGCTAACAAAGCTAGTGTGAACTTAGCCATAGCAGGCTCTCCACTCATCCATTCTGCTGTCCGGTGTAGGCAGTCCCCTCTCTCCGCCGGCCTCTCACTAGCAGCCCTCAGCTCATCCACCTCTATCCATCCCCACGCCACCTCTATCTATCCCTACACTCCCCACTCCACCTCTAACCATCCTCACGCCACCTCTATCCATCCCCACACTCACCACGCCACCTCTATCCGTCCCCACACTCACCACGCCGCCCCTATCCGTCCCCACACTCCCCACGCCGCCCCTATCCGTCCCCACACTCCCCACGTCGCCCCTATCCGTCCCCACACTCCCCACGTCGCCCCTATCCGTCCCCACACTCCCCACGTCGCCCCTATCCGTCCCCACACTCCCCACGTCGCCCCTATCCGTCCCCACACTCCCCACGTCGCCCCTATCCGTCCCCACACTCCCCACGTCGCCCCTATCCGTCCCCACACTCCCCACGTCGCCCCTATCCGTCCCCCCCACACTCCCCACGTCACCCTATCCCGTCCCCACACTCCCCACGTCACCCCTATCCGTCCCCACACTCCCCACGCCACCTCTATCCATCCCCACACTCCCCACGCCACCTCTAACCATCCCCACACTCCCCACGCCACCTCTAACCATCCTCACACTCCCCACGCCACCTCTATCCATCCCCACAATCCCCACGCCACCTCTAACCAATCTCGTTCCATCCCCACACTCCCCACGCCACCTCTATAGGTGTGATTTTGAGTGAAGGGATGGTCAGCCTTAATTAAAAATACGGTTTTGGTTAAAACATTTTTTTTTTATTAGGACAAGTAGATTGTCGTGAGGGACAGGTAGATTGGGACCCTAATTTAGTCCTTTGGACAAGTACTATTTAAAAAAAAAATTTCCACGCCCCTGCACTGGAGTCCTCTTCCACTCCTCCATGACGACATCACAGAGCTGGTGGATGGTAGAGACCTTGCACTCCTCCACCTTCCATTTGAGGATGCCCCACAGATGCTCAATAGGGTTTAGGTCTGGAGACATGCTTGGCCAGTCCATCACCTTTACCCTCAGCAAGGCAGTGGTGGTCTTGGAGATGTGTTTGGGGTCATTATCATATTGGAATACTGCCCTGCGGCCCAGTCTCTGAAGGGAGGGGATCATGCTCTGCTTCAGTATGTCACAGTACATGTTGGAATTCATGGTTCCCTCAATGAACTGTAGCTCCCCAGTACTGGCAGCACTCATGCAGCCCCAGACCATGACACTCCCACCACCATGCTTGACTGTAGGCTAGACACATTTGTCTTTGTACTCCTCACCTGGTTGCTGCCACACACTTGACACCATCTGAACCAAATCAGTTTATCTTGGTCTCATCAGACCACAGGACATGGTTCCAGTAATCCATGTCCTTAGTCTGCTTGTCTTCAGCAAACTGTTTGCAGGTTTTCTTGTGCATCATCTTTAGAAGAGGCTTCCTTCTGGGACAACAGCCATGCAGACCAATTTGATGCAGTGTTTGGTGTATGGTCTGAGCACTGACAGGCTGACCCACCACCCCTTCAACCTCTGCAGCAATGCTGGCAGCACTCATACGTCTATTTCCCAAAGACAACCACTGGATATGACGCTGAGCACATGCACTCAACTTCTTTGGTCGACCATGGCGAGGCCTGTTCTGAGTGGAACCTGTCCTGTTAAACGTTGTATGGTCTTGGCCACAGTGCTGCAGCTCAGTTTCAGGGTCTTGACAATCTTCTTATAGCCTACGCCATCTTTATGTAGAGCAACAATTTTTTTTTTTTTTTGATCCTCAGTTCTTTGCCATGAGGTGCCATGTTGAACTTCCAGTGACCAGTATGAGAGAGAGTGAGAGTGATAACACCAAATTTTACACACCTGCTCCCCATTCACACCTGAGACCTTGTAACACTAACGAGTCACATGACATCGGGGAGGGAAAATGGCTAATTGGGCCCAATTTGGACAATTTCACTTAGGGGTGTACTCACTTTTGTTGCCAGCGGTTTAGACATTAATGGCTGTGTGTTGAGTTATTTTGAGGGGACAGCAAATTTACACTGTTATACAAGCTGTACACTCACTACTTTGCATTGTAGCAAAGTGTCATTTCTTCAGTGTTGTCACATGAAAAGATAAAATATTTACAAAAATGTGAGGGGTGTACTCACTTCTGTGAGATACTGTATATATATAACTATACCTATATATAAAACTTATATAGATCTAAGATAATAATAATAATGTTATATCTATATAAAAAATCTCTATCAATATATACATAGATATAACTATAGACTATATATACCTATTTATTAGTGGTGCACCGAAATTAAAATTCTGGTGCCAAAACCGAAATGGACAGTTTTTAAAAATTCATATATTTTTCAAATGCAATTTTTTTTTGGGGGGGGGAGGAATACACTTTAATGATTAACCCCCCCCCCACACACACACACACACAATATATACCACAATTTTTCTGTAAAATATGAAAGATGATGTTATGCTGAGTAAATAGATACACAAAATGTCATGCTTCAAAATTGCACACGCTTTGGAATGGCGTCAAACTATGGTACTTACAAATCTCCATGGGTGACACTTTAAAAATGTCTACAGGTTACCAGTTGTAAAGTTGCAGAGGAGGTCTAGTGCTAGAATGATTGCTCTTGCTCTGACGTTCATTACAATATCTCACATGTGGTTTGAACACCGTTTACATATGTGGGCATGGCCTACGTATGCATTCACCACTACGTGCAAACACAGGGGGACGAGGTCAATTTAAACTTTTTTTTTTTTTTTTTTTTTTTTTTTTTTTTTTTTTAAATTTGTTTTTAATTACCTTTATTCCTAACAAAGAATGCATGCATCCTTGTGATATATAAATAATTAGTGACAGGTCCTTTTTGTGGAGAGATATGGGGTCAATAAGACCCCACATTTCTGCTCTACAATGTAAAGCATTGATCTAGTGCTTTTGAAAGAAAAAAAAATTTGCCGGAACCGGAAGTGACATCGCTTCGATCCTCCAAGGGCATAGAGAGAGGAGTAGAGGCCATCTTTCCTTCACTTATCTCTATGCCCAGTGCCAGGATCGTTCGGTGGTTTCTCAGGTAAGGTTGAGAATTACCGAGCTGTGGCGGCGAGGGGGCAGGGTTACTTTCGACACCTGTATCTGTGCTTATTTTCATATTGGCCAATGGCCGATAGGGGTGTTTTTGGCCACCAAAATTTCATTGCATCCCTAATAATATTTATACAATATACGGAGGGACTATGCTATATACATGTCTGCACAAACCAATATACTGGGGTACTGTGCTGTACATATGTCTGCACCAGCCAATATACAGGGAGGACTGTGCTATGTACATATGTCTGCACCAACCAATATACAATATACAGGGAGGACTGTGCTATATACATGTCTGCACCAACCAATATACAATATACAGGGAGGACTGTGCTATGTACATATGTCTGCACCAACCAATATACAATATACAGGGAGGACTGTGCTATATACATGTCTGCACCAA